CAAAATGGTGGATAGTCACACAATACTGGGAATCATGGCCTAGCCACATTGACACATATTTGGGGGGACACAATTCAGTCTGTGACACCACGTGTGTCAGTAGAACTGTGCTTCACAGGATTTTCAAATGGGTGATTTTTCAGAAGGTACATCACCAGGTCTTTCTTCCGAGATGCTTCTGTGGACTCCAATTTCCAACCTTTCAATTAGCAACGAAGCACATTAACCATTTGTACCACCCACGCACTCTGGCACGTAGTAAGTGCTCAATAAACATGTAAGGAACGCAGATAACTCCACACAACCCCATCTCTCACCTGCTCCAAAGAACTGCAAGAATCTCAGAAGTTTGTGTGGGCATTTTCTCCATTCTTGGCAGATGGGAGTATGGGGGAAAGCCACTAGAAGCCCTGATCATGTTCTCCAGTTCCCCTTTAGACAAAGGTGTTTCTGTAGCACGCCTCCCAGAGCCTGCCGAGTCTCCCTTCCAGATGTCTGAGTCTCAGAGTCCATTAGTTTGATATGAGGCTTTCAGGAACATTAAGAAGCTATTTAAGGAATTGGACAGGCAAACTTTGGGAGGTGAGTGTGGTCTGATTGAGGAGGGCCAACACGGCTTCAGGGAGGGAAGGTCAGACTCTGGAGCCTGTTGGAACCCTTTGAAGCGCTTGCTCCTGGGGAGGATGAGCATGCCGTGGGATGACTTGCACAGCAGTCCACTTTTTCTGAAAGCCTTTTCACAGAACGTTCTGCACCACAGGTTAATGCGTAAGACACGAGTTGTAAGTGGAAAGCTGGCAAAGTCCTTCGGAAATTGGCTAAAGGGCAGGAAACAAAGGGTAGCAGTTAAAATCTAAAAGGAGGTTAATTGGGGAGTGCCTCAGGGAATAGGGTTGCGACCAGCTTTTTATTATTTACATAAAAATTACTTGAAGAATGGAATCAAAAGGGATTTTCATGTTGGCTAATGAAACTGAGTTAGAGAGCTGGGTGTGCATTAGAGAGAAATGTGAATAGTGGAATTAGGAAAGGATTTAATTTGCTGATGGAAGAGAAAAGTAGCATTTTCTAATATATTTGTATTTATCAGCTGTCTTAGTCATCTAGTGCTGCTGTAACAGAAATACCACCGGTGGCTGGCTTCAATAAAGAGAAGTTTATTCTCTCACAGTCCAGTAGAACACAAGTCCAAATTCAGGGTGTCAGCTCCCAGTGATAGAATTTACCACACATAAGGAGATCACATATAATCTCATAGTGATAGAGTTTACAGCACATAAGGAAATCACATCAGAGTACACAATCATACAACACTGGGAATCATGACCCAGCCAAGTTGCTACACCCATTTTTTGGAGGACACAACTCAATCCATGACATCAACCCACACCCGTTCTATTGGTCAGACTTCCATTTGAGTCATCCGCAGGACCTCAGTTTGAACAACTCAAAACCTCCACCTGAGGTTTTGGCATGCTACACACAGGGCAAGTCCTGAAATTAAATGGCTGTTATCTTCAGACCTGGAAGCCTTTTTTAGAAGGAGCTGGAAGGCAGATGGAATTTACTATTTAGCTTCAAGCATAGGGTTGGGACACCTTGCATCCTCATCGCCCCACCTGTCTTAACATTTTCCATCGTTTGAAGCTCTAGTTATTGCAGAAATTTATTGTAGATATTCCCTGTATTAGTTTCTTAGGGCTGCTGTAACAAAATACAACAAACTGGGTGACTTAAAAAAACAGACATTTATTCTGTCATAGTTCCGGAGGCTAGAAGTTTGAAATCAAGGTGTCGTCAGAGCCATACTGCCTCATAAGGCTGTACAAACCATCTGTCCCATGCCCCTCTCCTAGCTTCTATTGGATGCCGGAAATCTTGGTGTCACTTGGCTTGTAGACATGTCATTCCGTCTCTGCTTCCGTCTTCACATAGCATTGTCTCTCCGTGTGTCTGTATGTCCAAATCTCCCATTCCTTTCTCTTATAAAGATACCTGTCACTGGATTAAGGTTCTTCCTCATCCAGTATGGCCTCATCTTAACTTGATTACATTTGAAAAGACCCTGTTTCCAAATAAGATCACATTCACAGGTACTGTGGCTTAAAACATGAACATATCTTTTTTGGGGGACACAATTCCACCCATAACATACCCCAGTAAGAAGCTGGCAGTCTCTCTTAAGCAAAGTTATTGCATACTGGAAATAACACACAGTGAGCCAGCACTTGAAGTTAGAAGTACAGAAGTGATATTAGTTGTCCTTTGTAACCTACTCTAAGGAGCCCTGGTGGCACAATGGTTAAGTACTTGGCTGCTAACCAAAAAGTTGGTGGTTTGAACCCACCCAGTGGCTCCGAGGGAGAAAGACCTGATGATCTGCTTCTGTAAAGATTATAGCCTAGAAAACCCTGCGGGGCAGTTCTACTCTGTCACATGGGGTCACTATGAGTCAAAATCGACTCCACAGACTTAACAACATAGCCTACTCTAGGGGATAGCCTATATAGGCATGACGGAGTTCACTGAGCCCTTGATTTCCTTGTTTTCAAACCTGGCCCAGTAGAAATCCTTCCTCTATGGCCTTGCTACTCAAAGTGTGGCCATGGACCTGCAGCGTCGACATCACCTGGGAGCAAGTTAGAAATGCAGAGTCTCAGGCCCTCAACCAAAAAAAAAAAAAAAAAAACAAAAACCACGCCCGTTGCCGTCAAGTCAATTCTGACTCATAATGACCCTCAGGCCCTAGTCCAGAACTAATGGAGGCATTGATGGTTCAGTGGTAGAATTCTCATGTTCTTTGCAAGAGTTCCAGGTTTGATTCCTCACCGATGTACCTTATGCACAGCCACCATCTGTCGGTGGAAGCTTGTGTGTTGCTGTGATGCCGAACAGGTTTCAGTGGAGTGTCCAGACTGAGAGTAGGAAGAAAGGCCTGGCGATCTGCTTCCAAAAATTAGCCAATGAAAATGCTATGGATCACGACAGCCTGATCCGCAGCTAATCATGGGGATGGTGCAGGACCAGGTAGCATTTTGTTCCATTGTGCATGGTGTCGCCGTGAGTTGGGGGCTAACCCCACAATAGCTAACAACAACTACAGAACTAAATTAGAATCTGAATTTTAATAGGATTCCCCAGGTGATTCCTGTGCACATTAAAGTTTGAAAGGCACTGCTCTAAGAACCACAGGAAATAAAAATAAAGGAGGGCTGTTTGCTTCTGATAGAGTGAAAATCAGACCATGTTAGTTCAGTGACTTGAGTAGAGCATTCTGGCATTTAGGACTTTCCAGCCTGCTGTAAACTTGGTTCCCCCTTCCTATTTTAATTTGGCTCATAAGGCACAGTGCCTTCTCCAGAATGTAAGCTTATCCTTAAGTGAACATGCCTTTTTAGAAGGAGATGTTAAAAGCTAGTCGGGTGTGCCCGAGCGCTCTTCCTCAAGTGTTGCTCATGAGCTGGGTCATTAGCTAATTGTTAGCATCTAGTGCACGGGCCACTGAGGCCTGGCACCTGGAGGCTGCTTTTAATTCCGGCTCATTTGCCAACGGCTCCGTGAATAGGTGCAGGACTTTTTGTTGCATTCTGCTGCTCAGGGCTGGCTGTCAGTTCACAGTACCAGCCCCACAGCAGGACTTCATGGGCCTAGGCAAACTTTTCTAAACACGAGAGGCTAGGCTTTTAAAGACCCGGATTTGAACAGTCTGTAGCCCTCTTAGAATTGTATTCCCTCTAGGTCTGAGTGGAAACCATGATGGTGTAGTGGTTAAGAGCGGTGGCTGCTAACCAAAAGCACTCCTTGGAAACTATGGGGCAGTTCTACTCTGTCCTATAGGGTCGCTATGAGTCGGAATCGACAGCAACGGGTTTTGGTTTAGGTCTGAGATGGAGCAATGATGACTACATCCTCTTTTCTCTCTCTTAGCTGCCCTACAGCTCTCCCTTGGACTTGCTTTTAGAAAATAGGATCAAGTAATGTGGGGGGTTGAAGGAGCTGGACGATGGGTGAGACTGACCTGCTTTTGTTCTCCAGTTATGAGGTAGTATAGACAGGGGCTGATTCTGATATCTCAACTCTGCCAAATTAGGAGGGAACAGCAGTGAAACGCCACCCTCAGCAAAGGAGGGTGAACATAGAGTCACGGCCAAACCCATATGAGGCTTGATTTTTATTCTTATTAGTTTTGCCAAGGTTGCTCTGTTCTTTTCAAAGAGCTTAGGTGGATGTTGAAACATCCAAGTCATTCAGGGTACTAAAGATGAGGAAAGACTTAACGTTTGCCAAGACACACTTTGGAGATTCAGACTAAGCATGTGTTCTTTGTAACTTGGCCTAGCTTGCGGTATTCCTCAAACCTCAGAGCCCCATCTTTACATGAGTCTGGCCACTTGGGCCTTGGAACAGGTAAGCCAAGAGGTGTTTCAAGAGAGTCCTTTAAATAAAGTATGTCTCCTCAGTCCCAGACAAATGCATATAAGAGCAACTACTAAGAACTCTGTACTGGCCTTCTCTTCCCCACATACTGAGAACTACTGGGAAGCAGGAAAATCTGTTATTCATCTTTGTACCTACAGCAGCTGGCACAGAGTAGGTTCCTACTAAATGACTGCTGAATGAATGTGCAAAGGAAGGAAGCAAGACTCTTGCAGCTCTTTCGGCTTGCACAGTATCCACTTGTAAGTCATTGTCCCAGTGATACCTCAGGTGTTATATTTTCAATCAGTTTTTTCCTTGTCAATTATTAAGCACACCCCTTGGGCTCATTCACAGTTGTGTATTGGGCCCCACATGTCTGTACAAGCAAGTCTCAAATGGAGGCTACCCCTGTCCACAAAGCCTGCTGCATAATCAAGTACACTACAATCCATACCTGAAAACCATAGGCTGGGCAGGAAAAGGGAAGGTGAATCAGAAGCCACTTTGTTAGAGGGAATAATTTTGTGACTTAGAAGATGTGCTCCCAACTTCTTAAGCAGGGTTATTCCTGTTCTTTTTAGGTAAGAGTCTATGATCTCTCCAAATACGAGCATGGAGCAGATGATGTGCTGATCCTAGCCACTGATGGACTCTGGGATGTTTTATCAAATGAAGAAGTGGCAGAAGCAATCACTCAGTTTCTTCCTAACTGTGATCCAGATGACCCTCACAGGTTTGTGCATTGGTATGATAGTAAGGTTGTTCCTCAAGCAGTCTTGCATGGCATGACTGAAATAAATAATAATCATGCAATTTTAACCATTAATGTTTTATAGTAGAGGCTGATACAGATAGGTTAGTAACCAAACTGCAGAAAGGGCAGCCTTTCTTGCTATAGATGCTTTCTCAGGCAAATAAAAATCCTCCTCCTAAAGTTTCGCCTAAATATAAGTGGTAAAAAAGTTTAATTTGTTAGGTATTTCAGCAGCATATCCGTCTCACGTTCTTACTTCATATCCTCCAAAGCGGGAATAATCCAGTCTTTGACCCTGCTGATAAAAGTGATGGCAGATGCGCTCAGCATTGATTTTTATCCTGTGGAATTATATCTTTTGAGAAACATTGGAAAAGGATAGAAATATTAGACTATGTATTCCTTTCTGACAGAGTGGCAAGGTAAATATCCTAAACAACCCTAGATGACTCTCAGAAGTAAACTGAAATCCCCTCTATAGAAAGGGAGCTTTAACTTAGAACACAAGGAAACAAGTCACCATGAGTGAAAGCCAGCAGAAATAATAGACAACAGAGTTGGATCTATAACTAATTATTATAATTAGCAGACAAAAATATATATTTAACATGTTTCATAAAATGTTTTTAAAAGCACTGAAAATATGAGAAGGGACAAGAGACTATAAAAATGACTAAACAGATTTTTTAAATAAGGCAATGGAACTTTTAGAGATGAAGAATGTAAAGATTGGAATTAGTTATTCAGTGGATTAAACAGGTTAGAGACAGTCGAAAAGAACATTGGTGAACTGGAAAACTTATTTGAATAAATAATCCAGAATATGGCTCAGAGGGACAAAGAGAAGGGAAATGGTGATAGAAACAGTGATAGAATGTAGGAAATTTACAGGCTGGAAACTCTGGCAAGATGTTTGTGTTACAGACTTGAGGCAGAATTCCTTCTCCCTTGGGAAACCTCAGTTTTTGCTCTTAAGGTCTTCAAAGGATTGGATGAGGCCCACCTACATTATGGAGGGTAGTCCGATGTACTTAAAGTCAACTAACTGTAAATGTTAATCACATGTAAATACCTTCATAGCAAAAACTAGTGTTTGACCAAACAACTAGCTACCGTAGCCTAGCCAAGTTGATACATAAAATTAATCATCTCATGGCTAATTCATGTTAATTCAGCTAGTTCTGCCTGTATTAGCCACATAAACAAGTACAAAATAATTCTTGTAACTTTAAGGTTCTAAGGAGCCAAAGAAGTAGAACTGACTCTCCATGGAATGTGTGTTCTTTTCCTATGTGCAGGCTATTAGTAAACAACTACCTTAAAGTATCGAGTCTATGGTCCTTATTTCCGTAATAGCATCCAGTTTAAGAAGTGAGACCAGAATACACCCAGGTAAATTAATGGAAGGGAAAAAGACAACAAAATAGAGAACAAATATACAATAAAGATAAATCACAAAGCTAAAGTTTGGTTCTTTAGAACAACTAACTAAGTAGATAAATTTCTTTTAAGGTTGATGAAAAATGAGGGGGCAAATAAACAAGGTTAGAAATAAAAAATGGTGATAACATAGATGCAGCAACAATTAAAATAAAATCAGAGGATATTATGAATATACCCATATTCTTAAATAGGAAGACTCAACATTGTGAGGACATTAATTCTCCCTAAATTTATCTATAAAGTCAGTGAAATTATAAAAATACCAACTGAAGTTTTCATGGAATTTGACAAGCTGATTCTAAAATACATGTGGAAGAACAAAATGCCAAGAATGTAACATTTCTGAAGACTGGAGGCAGGGGCCTGGGGGGGTCATGTGGGTCTTGCCCTACTTGATACTAAGACAACACCAAAAATTAAAACAGTATAGAAAAAATAGAAGTTGGATTCTTACTTAAAATGAAGTCTTCCTAAATTAAGACTTAAATGTGAAAGGCGAAAGTAAATATAACTTTTAGAAAATAGATGGGTACAATCTTTATGACCTTGGAGTAGGGAAGGATTTCTTAAACAAGGCACACAGAGTACAAACAATAAAAGTAAGTTTGATAAATTTAACTACACTAAAAGTACGAACTTTGGTTCTTCAAAAGACAACTTAAAGAGAGTAAAAAGACGATCTGTGGACTTGGAGAAATTTGCAACTTTTATAACAGAAAAGTGATCTGTATCAGTAATATATAAAGAATTCCCAAAAATCAATAAGGAAAACAGAACCTAATAGAAAAATGAGCAAGAATTATACAGTCATTACAGAGAAGAAAAATAAAGCATAAATAAACAGAAATTTAAAAAATTCAATCCCAGTAATCAGAGAAGTACAAATTAGAAACAATCTTAGATATGGTTACTCACCAAATTGGAAACATTTAAAAAGCCTGATAATTTCTAGTGTTAGCAAGGATATGGAGCAACTGGTACATTCATACACTGCCGATGGATTTGTGAATTTGTAGAATCACTTTGGAAGAGTTTTGCATACCTAGTAAAGTTGAGCATAAACATATCCTGAAACTCAAAAGTTCTACTCCTAGGTCTGTACCCTGGTTTATGGAATGAATCATGTCTCCCAAAAATATGCATTGAATACTTGGCCTTTGTACCTGTGTATCTTGTTTGGAAATGGGGTTTTTCTTTTGTTATATTTGTAAGGTCATGCCAGAGGAGGGTGGATCCTAAACTTAAACACTTCTGAGTTATAAAAGATAAGAATAGACACAGAACACACACACAAGAGGAAGACAGATGCCAAGGAATGCTAGGAATTGGAAAGATCACTGGCAGATACCAAAAACTAGGAGAGAAGCTCACAGAAAGAACGAACAATGCCCAGACCCTGATTTGACATTTTCGTCTCCAGAACTGTGAGAAAATAAATTTCTATTCTTTAAAGCCACCAACTTGTGGTATTTCTGTTACAGCAGCACTAGGTAACTAAGACATCTGGAGTCATGATTCTGAAAGAATGGTCCTCAGGCCACATGGTATCAACATCACCTTGTTAGAAATACAAATTATCAGGCCCCACACCAGATCTACCAAGTCAGAAACTCAAAGGGTAGGGCCCAGCAATTTGTGGTTTAACCAACTCTCCAGGTGATTCTGATGCCCCTAAAATTCGCAAACCAAGTGCCATGGAAAAATTCTTGCATCATGAGGCTGCACAAAGATATCCACGACATTGTTTTCATTACAACAACTGTAAACAACTTACATGCCCAGTCACAAGATGGATAAACAAAGAATAGAATACAGCACTGAAAAGGAATGAACCAAAACTGTGCTCATTGACAGGAAGAACCCCAAAATTATAATGTTGAGTTTAATAGGCAAGTCCCAGAAGAAATACACATTATGATTCTACTTATATAAAGTATAAAACTAATATATTGTTTAGGGATCTAGATGTTATACTATATAAAAATATAAACTTTAAAGAAAAACAAGAGAATTAACCCCAAACTGAGGATAATAGTTGCCTTGGGAGAGTAGGTGGCAGGGACAGAGGGGCCCACAGTAGGCTTCTAAGGTACTTACTAATATTTTCTGTTCTTTTAGCTAGGTGGTAGGTACATGGTTGCCCATTTTATTTTTAAATTGTTCATCGTATGTAAAACACAAGAGGCAGTATAGTCTAGTGATTGTTGTTGTTAGGTACCATCTAGTTGATTCCAACTCATAGCGACCCTGCATACAACAGAACAAAACACTGCTTGGTCCTGGGCCATCCTCATAATCATTATGCTTGAGCCCATTGTTGCAGCCACTGTGTCAGTACATCTCATTGAGGGTCTTCCTTTTTTTTTTTGCTGACCCTCTACTTTACTAAGCATGATGTCCTTCTCCAGGGACTGATCACTCCTAACTACATGTCCAAAGTATGTGAGATGAAGTCTTGCCATCCTTGCTTCTAAGGAGCATTCTGCTGTGCTTCTTTCAAGACACATTTTTACATTCTTCTGGCAGCCCATGGTATATTCAGTGTTCTTCACCAACACCATAGTTCAAAGGCATCATTTCTTTGGTCTTCTTTATTGTCCAGCTTTTGAATGCATAGGAGGCCATTGAAAACGCTATGGCTTGAGTCAGGCACACCTTAGTCCTTAAAGTGACATCTTTGCTTTTTAACACTTTAAAGAAGTCTTTTGTAGCAGATTTGCCGGATGCAATGCATCGTTTGATTTCTTGACTGCTGCTTCCATGGGCGTTGATTGTGGATCCAAGTAAAATGAAATCCTTGACAACTTCAATCTTTTCTCCGTTTATCATGATGTTGCTTATTGGTCCAGCTGTGAGGTTTGTTTTTTGTTTTGTTTTGTTTTGTTTTGTTACCTAGTGGTGTAATCCATGCTGAAGGCTACAGTCTTTGATCTTCATCAGTAAGTGCTTCAAGTCCTCTTCATTTTTAGCAAGCAAGGTTGTGTCATCTATCGCAGGTTGTTAATGTGTCAGGTAATTAAGAAACTAGAATTTGTGTCAGACTGCCTAAGTTAAAATCCTGGCTCTGCCACTTCTGGTCTTGTGACCTTGGAGAAATTTCTGTGCCTCAGGTTCCTCATCTGTAAAATAGGGATTCCAATAGTACCAGCCTCATACCTGTATATAAAGTGCCTGGCATATAGTAAGCACTAATGGAAGTGTTTGTTGTTATTATTGTATGTTTTGTATATTTCACAACAACAAAAGCATTCTTTTAGAGGGAAAAAATGGAGGTACAACATCTCTCACCTCCAAGGATTGTTTAGATGCAGAGGAATTGATGGTACTTTTGTTTGAACTCCTGTTGAGTTTTAGTTTTAATCTGTGGTTTGTATCCTCCTTGTCATAACATTCTCATGTTGATTTTCTCTACTATGATTTTTTTTTATAAAGCTTTGCAAAACCAGCTGACAGTTAGGACTTTAAAGTTTTTTTTAATCTCTCCAAGCTGGCCTGGTCTTGCTTACCAGCCGCTCTCTCTCCATGGCAACGAATCT